CCCCCCTGCGGGGGCCTGTCCCTGCCTCTGCCTGTTCCCTTCCCCAGGTCTCCTGCGGCCCCCGGACGTCTCTGAAATCTCCCAGCCCGAGTCCGTGGCCAAGGGGAAGGGAGTCACCCTGAGCTGCCTCATCGCGGGGCATTTCCCGGGGGAGCTGAGCGTGACCTGGCTGCGGAGGGGCAAGGGGGAGGACACTGCTGTGATCCTGCGCGACTCGGCTGAGTGCAGGGTGGAGCCCGGCACGGCCGTCCTGGCACGGGACGGGAAGAGCTTCCAGCAGGAGACGAGACTCACCCGCTGGACATCCAGGGACCAGGGGGCAGAGTACATCTGCCGTGTGGGACACCTTGCCCTGGAGACCCCCATTGAGAGGAGCAGTGGTAAGTGGTGGGGGATGGGAGAGGCCTGGTTGCTGTTCCAGGGTAAGGGGCCTTGCCATGGGCCCCGCTCTGGTTCTAGTCACCCCAGGTACTCAGGGGAAGGCACTAAGTGCTCTTAGCCTGAAGGGGAGCGTGGCCTCCTGTCGTCGCTCAGAGTCACAAGCAGAGATGTGTGTCAGGCGATGCTCCTGGCCAAAGATTGTCTCCCCCATTTCTGATCCCATCTTCCAGCCAGAGACCCCACAGCCGGAGACCTCCACATCCCAAGGTGGAGGCTTGAGTCTGGCACCTGCACTCCCCCATGCCCCAGTGGAAGGGGAAGCCCACAGGCTCTGATTTTGCCTAGAAATAGACCTGTGCACCCTGGATGGCAAGTCACAGGCTCGTTCCACTTGTTTTCTAGATCATACAGTGACCACCAAAGCCTCAAAGAGCTGAGGAGGCAGCCGAAGACAGAAGCAGTTACCAGCACTGCATCTCTGCCATGACCCACGGGACACCAGGGACACTGTCCACAGCTGGGGTGAGCTGGGATGCAGGGGCCAGGGTCTGGCTTGAGGCTGGGTCATGGTTACATCAAACCCAGGCCTTTGCTGTTGGAAGCTGCTCCTGCCTCCCTGCCCTCCTTGTGTGACCTGTGCGGTGGGGCTGGACAGGG